TCAATGCCTTCTTTCTTTTCGGTTGCAGGCTTCGTCAATCGAGCCTACTGACCTACTGTGTACTTTCCACAATGCCACACCGCTGGTTCATTGTGAGTAGATGCAGTTTCTGTACTAGTTTGAATGTAGCGGTGTGAGCAGGTCCCGCTCCCGCAGCTGTTCGTCCTCGCGAGAGTGGACGCCGCAGAACACTCCTACCAGGCTCGACCAACAAACGGGACACAAGATGAACGGCTTTGCAACGTGCGGGACAGGCACTCGCTCTCACGTTCCATGACTCCTGGCCGTGGAATGCCAGTGAAAGAGCAGGCGCCGCATGCACCCGCTCCCGAGCCGATACTCAGAGTTGTTTTGCCAGGAAGCTGTGGATCAGTACTTGAACCGCATGGCGTCGGAACCCCGTGATGCGCCACCGAGTCATCTCGCGCGCCTCGCTTGCTGTGGTTTCAGGTTGGCTCGCTTGGACTCGCCTCTGCGAAAGATCGCCTTCGGATCGGGCACGCCACGCGTGGCCAGAAGCTTGTGGGGTGCGGGAGCTCTCCTGGTGAGCTTGGGTTTCCCGTGCTGAAGTCAGTTGAAGCCCCGCATTGTCAAATCTTAGATTCCGAAGCAGAGGTGGCCTTGCGGATGTCTCGATCTCTGTGATTAAAAGGCCGCTTCTCCTGCGAGATCCGCATCTGGCAGTTCCCATACTGGCTCGGACTACAGCCGTGACTCCAGGCGAATCGGTGAGCGAGTGCATCAGTGCAAGCATGGAAGAAAAGCCTGACACCACCTCGACCAGGCTCTCACATCTATCGCGTCCTCGCAGCCTCTCCAAAGATCAACTGAGCACCGAAGACAGCCTGTGCAGCCTTGAAAGCCTTGGAGGGAGTCGGACAGAGCAGCTCGCAGATGCTCGCAGCGACAGGACCGGGAATGCTTGAAGGCAGCTGAGGAGAGGCGCGCCTTGCGGCACCGGCCTCAGGCCTTTTGGCTGTGGTCGTATGCACGAAAGCTATAGGTCTCTGGAGCTTGCGGGAGTTCTCGCTTACCATTCACTTAGGTACTAGAGAACTAGGTCAGAAACTGTGTATATCTGGTCCCTTCACAATAGTTAAAGTCAAAGCAGGTGAAGGGGGGGGAAGGGACCCTCACCGCAAGGTCCCGGCAACATTGTGTAGGGTTCCCCCCGCCCCCCCCACCCCCCCGCTTCAAGGTCCATCATGTTCCATCTTTTTGAGCAACATGGCAACTTGCGTTTTGTGCCTACGTGGCCGAGTGCGTCTACGTAGCAGGTTTCACGTCTGACCTCTCCCCCAGGACAGATCGAAGCTGCGAGTTATTGCTTACGCAGGGACACTCGATCAAGGCACTACGATACGACAAGGGTATGAAGATACATGTGGGCCAGTGGAAAGCAGAATAACGCTGTCATCTTGCTGGCTGAAGCTTCATGACTTCATGGCACTACATACGTGCTTGCCTCCATGCTGCCCGAGCTCTGTCGCCTCTGGTTCCTTTTTTTCCATAGCTTTCGTGGCCTCTTCCCAAGTGAGCTCAGGAAGCAGTTGCGCCGCAATCGCCGCAAGTACAAGGAGGCTGTGGCTTTCCGCCAGAGCAGATGGGTGAGTCTTGAAACGAAGCCGCAGAGGAGACTAGAGGCACTTGGAGGCTTCTCTGAACTTCAGGCCCTGCTGGGTGGCAACATAGCCGAGCGTTGCACCGAGCGCATCCTGACAACACCCATTGCTGCGCCCCTGGCAAGCGCTCTCAATGGGCTCCGTGTCTCTGCCTGTTCGGAAGCCTAGGCCCCAGAGCTTCAAACTTCATTTCGCGGCGCGAGACTTCGAAGCACTTCCTGGCATGGCAAGCACCCCATTCGTATCTCTTCACGGCTCTCCGCTGCCATGCAAGCAATGCCTTCAAGGCACTGAGCAGCGCGACTCCATGAGCACGGCAGCAGGACGTGCACGCAACAAGTACAAGACTGGAAGCTGTCTCGCACTCTTGGTAGTTGTTGGAAGTTCTCACCGGCTTTGTTTGCCGGTGACTTTGCAGACGGTAGCAACCAGTCCAAAAGCGAATGCAAGTAGCAAGTAGAGCGATATTCGCTGTAAGGTACCCTACTTTCAGTGCACTCTAATTCCCTTTGCCCCGCTGTTGTTCGATTCATGTCATCAACCTCATGTTGATGCCAGCTAGGAGCCGACTCGCGCGTGTACCTGAAGAAGCATCCCAATCCGCGAGAGCAGGTGCTCTGGCTTTGCGAGATGAGTATGCCTGCCAAACTTCCGATCGCAGCAGCAGATTATAGCAGATTCCAGCTTTCTTGTCGGTATCAGGCAGCCATTGAGCGCCATCTCGAGCAGCGCTTCGCCGCCTTACTTCTGGAGTCTCATATGCAGACCGGAAGAGTGTCAATGGCCATGCTCCGCGATCTGGGCTCTACAATCGAAGACGCCTGACTTCTATCCGAGGCAAACCCCTTTCCGGTCAAGGACTCTGCAAGAGAGACACCGGTGCCAGGGCCTGTCCGAAAGCCCGAACAGCAGGCAAGGCAGGCTGGAGCCTGCAGGCACATGTCACATGCAATGGCCTTCAGCGCAGGCCATGTCAATTCCAGAGGGAGTCGACGCTGATGCCTGGATTGCAGCTGCGGAGTCGCCGGAGGACAAGAAAAAAAGCCTCCAGCTCCCAGTGCTTTGGGCCCCGCTATGGTCTCCTCAGGAGAGAGCTCAGCGCGCACGTGCGGTCGCACTGGCCAGGCACGGGCACAGAACTTCCATAATCTTTGGTCGAATTTCACTCTCCCTTGCCGAGCAGCGCAGCGCAATGCCATGACATGCCGTGATGTATGCTTGGATGCACATTCTGGCGGCATGCCGTGCCCTCCCTCAGCCAAGATCGGGTGCTTCCATGACTAGCAGAGGGCTGTTAACACGCATTAGATACCGGTTCCTCGCCACAGATAGCGGAACACAGTCGTGCGTAGTCTCGAACGCAATCAATCGAGACAGAGGCGCGACACGGAGTGGGAGGAACAACGCTCGCAGCTCTGCATCTTCAGGCCCATGCAGAGCATACTCCGAGCATGCACAGGGACTGCAGCTGGACAGCTTTGAAAGGCCGAGCACTGGCGGGATGCCAGCGTCCCCTGACAAGGCGCGAAGATGCTGGAAGTGACTTGTAGTGGCCGAACATTGGACTGAGGACTGGTGATGTCAGGTGCAACATCGCAGTTTTGCTCTATCTGCAGGCTGTCGGAGATCTGCGCGCGACCCTGGCTGGCTCACCTCGCAGCCCAGAAGCCAAACAGGCGAGTGCTTGCCCAAACTGCGTACAGCTCCACCGCAGTGCGAATCATAACATACCAAGTATCCGGAGGCCTCGGCAGATGCTTGCGAAGATGGTGAGCAGCCATGATGGAGCTGATGCACATGCTGACAGGCCCCCCCGTCAGTATAAAATAAAGGTACCCACCACGAAGGACGAAAGCTGTATTGACCGGGATGCAGTGTGCGGGCGGCGAGCTGCGAGCTGCACAAGTCGTGTATAAGTCCAAACTTAGGTCGGCGACCGTCGCGAGCAAGTTGAGATGGTCGAGATTCGATTGCCAGCTGAAGTGATCAACCCTGCACAATTCGATTTAATTAGCGCAAGACATTGCAATGCAGTTGATTGTTTTCACTGCTGGTGCCGGAGTTGCGCGTGCTTGGTGCTCCTCACCATCACTTTTGACCGGCAGGTGCATGTCGTCAGCTACATGTCGGTGCAACTTAGGTGTTTCATGAGCAACTCACGCCAGCCTCCCTTACGCTCCCAGTCTGCAGAGCAGCGAGAAAAGAAGCTTTTCGCCTTGGAGTGGGGTCCTCAAGAGTAGCCAAACACGAGCATGAAGTCCTGGAAAAGGATCTAAGACGAGCTGTGACATAAAACAGCTTCGCTGGAAGTGTCATAACTCACCGCATCTTCGTAGACACACCCTGAAGAAGCTGAGACTGTCATCCAGTTTTGGAAATAGAGCACTACGAACCTGTGAGGATGAAGACGAATGAAGCCGTCAAAATCAACAACCAATAAACTTGACTTTATAGAAGCATGCTTGGGCTGGCAAGAGCAGAGGATCTGGAAACAATGGGAATGCACGCAGAGCGAAGCTCCGGGTCGGACAGACATCACCCGTCACTCGCATTTTCGCAGGCTTGGAGCGCAGGTGACCTGCACAGATCAAGCCAAGATCATTCCGGTGCTGGAGGCCGTTACCGGTATCTCTTTGATGGTAGGATGCGGTTAAGGGGCCAAGATCGAATCTATGCAGAATCGAAGCATGCTCTCGCCAGGCGTCGCTAAAGGAGCTCGACAGGCGAAACGATTTCAGAGATTCTGCGACAAGGATCGTCGTGTCCAACTGATGCTAGGCGGCAGGGCCACCATGCTGAAGCAGGTGGTAGTATCCGCATCGTGTCCCTGGTGCCCCAACTGCACGAATGGCGGTCATTCCCTCTATTGGCTGCGTAGCTTCTGAGTGGCAAATCCCAATCTGAGGATTGGGGAGAGGCTGGGGCTGGGGCAAGATGATTGGTTCGCAATGCAGCTGCCCTTGTCATCACACCTGCCTAGACTCCTAGACCGTGAGATCCAAGAAAGGGAGCTGAATGAGTCCCTGGCGAGCAGGAAGGGCTTGCGGCCTCAGAGTTTCATAACGAAGAGGCCAGGAGCATGCTTTAGTCAGACTTGTCTCCGGCCTGGCTGAGCTTTCAGAGCCTTGACATGGTTCTTGATTGAAGCTGTGCGGTCCCCGCGGCTCTTTGGCCTCCAGCCATGGCACGGCACGCTGTCTGGACAAAGCAGGAGGGTCTGATATAAGCATGTTGTGGTAAATGGATGCAGGTTTGCATCCCACATCGAAATCATGATTAATGCTGGCTAAGCCACACCTACAGGAGCTGTGACTCGAGGAGGGCTCTAATCAAATCAGGTTCTCGTGAACCAGTCAAACGGATGTGTAAGCGGAAGCCATGGATGTCCTCAACACACCAGGCGGGCCATCCACGTATCCTTACAACATGCAGGAGAAGATGACAAACCGGCAAGTGCAGAATGCAGGGCAGCTGGGCATGTGTTGTGCCATGTTGGCCATTGTTGGTAGGTTGCATGTAACCCATCGAGCCTATCAGCGTGTGCCGTTTAGACTCCAATCGGGCAGTGTGGCTATTGAAATCTGACTCTGAACACACACTCTTGGTCATAAGCGTCATACGTGCATTTATTATCGTAATAAGGGTAGCCCGGGGGACGCTATAGCCACGGCGGCCTCTAGCCTCTGTCTTGGATGTGTTTGCGAGAGAGAGAGAGAGAGAGAGCTTTGCGCGGGTGACTTCAAAGGTACACACCGTTCTGCGATCACGATCACGATGGTGATCACTCCAGCAACATGCTTGCAGAGTGAAAGCGTATCCGGCTGTTCGGCTGTGCCATCTCTGCTGTCTTGTGTACAAGATTTTCAACCAGGTTGCTCACGGCGAGCAGGGGCGAGCTTGCCGCCGGGGTTAAGCTGAGGTGACATGAGTGATGAGTCGACCTTCCGAGTAGACGAAGACAAAGATGGCCTTCCAGACGTTCTAATGAACCAGACGACTGCGGAATGCTTCAACATTCCCGTGTTCCGAGAGCAGTTGCTGCTTCACTTGCTGTCACCATTCTGCCTCTCGACCGAAGACTGAAAGCCCTGGTCATGTAAGCCATATCTTGAATTCACTTTGCGAGTGCTGGCGTTATCCTGTCGGCAGTTGCTTGCACGCCTCCACTCCGCTCGATGTCGAGGCATTCCGTTCTATTTGTTGATGGGCAAGAGGGCATTACTTTCAAACACGCAGACTTGGCCTTGTCCGAATCTCGTGACGCTCTACTGGACAGTAGTCCCATTAATCGTCTACGCCAATGCGATGCTATTTGCGACCAGGCAGCAGGTGAGCTTCCAGTCCCAGCTGCCGGCAGACGTTTAGATTATTATCCAATCCGAGGCACTGTTCTACGATGAGTTCGAACGGAATGACATTGGCATTGCTGAGATCGTGATTGTGCCGTGCTTGGCCATGTTCACACATCGATCCATGATCGCGCTGCGCCTCTGCTGCAGTGTAGCGGCAACATATCGACATAAGGATGCTGGCATTTAGAGCCACAGGCAGAGTTGGTGGCTCGCGCGCTCACAGTCGCAACAAAGGAAATACAGCGGTCTTTCCCCGGAGGAGTACGCACTCTGGCTGGATGCTCCGAGACAAATTGCCGCCAAGCGACTTGGATCAGGATGGTTTCGAGTTCAGCATGGACTGTAGGAGACATTGTCAGAAAGACCACTGTTGCTCAGTACAAATGAAGCGCTTCAGTCGCAGCACGGCAGAACAGCCCCTGCTGAGATGGAGCAAGCAGATGCAGCTCATCTCCACGTGGCTGCCAGTGCCAGATGAAATCCTAGTGGCAGAGATTGACAAGGCGTGCAAGTATCAAGGCGCCAGCTGAGATTCCCAGAGTGCACACTACCAGTAGCAGCCACTAGCATATGTGATGACTCCCTTCCACTGCTCGTTGCAGTTTGCGCTGATGCTCCTTTGGACCGATGTTAACTGCCTCGTGCAGGTGCTGATCTGCATGAGATTTTCTTCGAGCACGATGTGCAGCCCAGTTAATTACAACTACTGTGAGATTTGCTTTCATGCCTCGTCGATGGTTCAGCCCTGTGGTTTGCGAGTGGCCAATCCACTCCAGCGACAGCACAGGCAGGATGTGTGTAGCTGGAGATGCTGGCAGGTCTGGGAGCAGACGCTTCATGGCACTTAGGGAGGGTGGAGGGCCTGCAGTTTCTTGGGTCTCATTGCATGCCCGCAGCCAGGAGAAACACCGGCACGGAACAAGTTAAGCACACTATCAACCACTTGACCGACGCTTCACGTTCCCATCGTATCCACAAGCGTGGTACGTTGAAGCCACGCTACCCTACGAGAAGATGGGCCAGCTGGGGTAAAGGATTCATCCACATGATTCTGCAACCCCACATTCCTGTTCGGGAAGTGTCTGCCAGTCTCTGGCTGTCTCCAAGGATGCTGGAAGGCCACTGCACCAACTCAGAGCTGAAAAGCTCATCCTTGTGCCCCAATCTCACACGCGCCTCTCGGCAAGGAACCGCACAAGCAGGGGCCAGCTTGGTTTGAGGCTGCTCCCTGTGCTCCTAAGGTCCTCTCTCGAGAGACTAGCGTGAGCTTCTCCCGGGGCCTTCGACGGATCAGTCCTTGAGCGGAGATCAGACCTGTGGCCTTTGCTTGAAGCCGAGTGAGACATGACATAGGCTACCCTGATGACAAGGCGCTCATCAGCTCCTGTACACCTTGTACCGTCGTACTGCCGACGAAGTCACGGAGGGCCAGCGATTCATCACTGTAGGCCGGAAAATTCGGCGAGCGAGCGCGGTTGCAACGTGATCAGCTCTCAGAGTTGCCAGGCTTGTTTGCGCTCTTTCCGGCCATTTTCCCGATTGCTTGGCGCTGTGTGAAGTGCACCAGCCCCTCGGCAGAATTCACGGCAACATCGAATGACACAGACTTGTGGAGTGGCTTGGCAGCCATGGCACAGCCAGCGCTGAGGCGAGCTAGGCGACGAAGTCGATGCCGGAGATATTCTTGCTGCGGGCTTTGGAAGGCATAGCTACGTCGCCCCTCAACTGGTCCAAGTTCCAAGTGAGTTCGGACCAGAAGCAGTGAAGTTGCAATTGAGCTGAGGTTTCCTACTGCGTGGCACAAGCTGCTTTTATTGCCTACTCGCACGGCGCCGTGTCGTCTGTTTTTGCCGTCGGGGCCCTGCAATGTCCTGTGGCGAAGGGGTCCTCTCACTCGTGGACGGAGGTCATCGCGATTATTCACTATAAGCGCATGCAGATGGTGATGGAATCGGTGCAACAGCTGGCTCGGCGACTGCCCTGCCTGTACCCCAACTTGCCTCAGGCGTGTTCCGGTGCCCCGGGATTCTTTGCATCAGACATGGACAAACCTGCGAACAATCAAGCGCTTCTGCACCGCTCCACAACCGATACAGCGGCTGACAAGGGTGAGTATGGCATTGCACAGTGTCGCCGCAAACGTGAATACGAATCCCGACATTTATAGAAGATGAAAAGTCCCGCACAGGTGCAGCTTTCAGGCCCGACAGCAGAAGCGAATGTGCGGGCGGTGCTTGCCTGCTTCGAGGCCCTCTTGCTGTGTGTCAGCCTGGCAATTGCGAGTGCTGATTACAACTAGCAGATGAGGAGCTTTAACTTAGTTCGGACACGGCGGAAGAATACAGCACCTTGCAAGAGCTGAAGCTGTGACTGCTGCATGCTGCAGACCGTTCTTCGAATGGGAAGTCGATACCAACACCGAGCAGACTCCTACATTGGAGCGTTGGCTACAGCTTCGACTATGGGCTCCTTGGGCTACATTTCAGCGCCCGAGGCTTTTCAATTTTCAACATCGCTGTCTTGACGGCAGATGTTTCAAGCGTTTCGGACCTGTTGAAGATCGTGCTTAAGGTCTCGGCCTTGTCCTCATCGGAGTGATTTTGGGTGCACACTCCCAGCTAAATGCTGGGACATGTGTGTGCCTTGTGATCATCAGTGGTGTTACAGTGACTTGTCAACAGTAGACATGGATGTAAGTTTCCCAGCCGAGCCTCCCAGAGAACTGAATCTGCAGACATATCTTGAGGTTGCGATACACCAGATGATTCTTTACGGTGCCCGACCAAGCTTCTGAAATGCGATGCAGACTACAAACTCTTGTACGACTGTTCCGCTGTCGTCGTGGCAAGGCCGCCTTGCGACTCGGGCTGCAAGCCCTCAGTTTAGACTTCAGGGAGCTTCGAGCCATTCCGAGGCCAACGAAAACTTCGGCAAGCTGTCCAGCAACTTCTGCCGGGCTCGGTGGCGCAACTCCGCAACACGGCTGCAGAGCTTGCGAAGAGCGGAGCTGCTGCTCCGGCCGTGTACAAACGCCAGCAGGTGACTGGTGATTCCGAAGCGGGAGATCAAGCCTGGGCCTGCAAGCAGCATTTCTTTGCGTCGGGGATGCGTGAGTCGCAAGGTGATGAGCCTGGCTATGGAAAGACTGGCACTGCTTGCAGAAACCGAGCCCGCAGCATGTCTGCTTTTACATCGGACCTGCCCCCACCTCTCTCTCGAACCGGCCTCGCAGAGGTGACCGTTGCCTGCTTGATCCCAACAGCCGACTTGGGATACAGCATCGTCTCCCTGGCGACTCGGCATTCCCAGCCTGTCCTTCAAGACCTGCAGATATATAAACGACGGCGTGAATCAGGTGAGTACTTTTGTGCTGTACATCCTGGGCAAGCTGCTCCATGTCGAGCTTCCTCTTTGATGACAGAAGTTCGACCTGGATGTTAACGATTCAAGTACTGAGTCTGATCCAGAGAATGCTGATTGAGCATGCCTGGCAGCACAAATGCACCAGGCACAGTACCGACTCAGCTGAGAGAGTCCATGAGACCCTAGGTGTGACTGTGCAACAAGCACAAAAGTCTCGCTTGCGCAGTGAGCAAAGGAAGGTATGTGCATTCTTGGACAGTGGATCGAGCCCGGGAGGTGCATTACGACGTGATAATCTCGGCGGAGCTCGTTTATTTGGAGGATGCCAGGGTGGAGTGCATGCCGCTGCAGACAGCAATGCCAGACTACTGATGTTCAGACGAAAGAGACTAAAGAGATTGCATCTGGCTCGATTACTGCAGACTGCAATGAAGTGCAAGTCACCAACATGACACAATCATACGATCAAAGACACCCCTGTCCGGTGCCCATTAGCCAAGCCTGGTGGATTCGCTGGCCGAAGCTGAGCCCAAAAGCCTTAAACGCGCGATGAAAGAGTTTGCAGTCGCAGGGACCCTAAACCCCTTCTTCAGCCCACTCCTGCGTTTTGCCGACCCCGCTGTAACCCTGACGTGGCCGTGGATGGCTGGGATATCTACAAGGCCACGCTTCGAGGTGGATGCCGCCGAGGCCAGTGTAGATTCGCATTCATGTCTAATTTTGAGCTCGGAGGGTGTTGCTTCTGGGATAACAGCAGGCCTCAGCGGGCCATCGCACACTTGGATCTCGACTGCTTCTATGTGCAGGCTCGGGCCGGACGACGCGGAAGTCGTTCGACACTTCATCTCGTCCTGAACATATGAATGCCCCATACCGTACCAGGTTCAGGTTCCACACGCGTAGGACTTGAACGCCCGAACTGCCGAAGCTGCGCCAGGTGGAGCAGCGACGCCTGAACCTGGGCAGACCGCCTTGGACCGCGAGGATGCATGTGAGAACCCAGCGATCAATAAGGATCAACGGAACATGGATACTCGGTGCAGGGATTCCCCCCCAGCCGCGGTGCAGCAGCAAGGAGCTCAGTTTGCTGCCTCATGTGCAAACCCAATAACGGAAAACTTGAATCTTGTCTCAGAAGCACGGCGCCGAACAAGATTCCAGCGCTGCAAGTGCAGATGTGGATGCATTGCCACAGATGGCAAACTATGCTCTCGAGCAGAAGGTGGGACGGCCTCATAGCAGTCAACTATGCTGCTCGTGCACATGGTGTCAAGCCGGACTCCCGGCATCTTTCTGGGTTGTTGAGACACAGATTCAAAGCGGAAGCCCTGAGGCGTGGTATGCGAGCAGCGGAAGCTTCAACCATTTGCCCCGGTATCGTCCTCGTACACGTCGAGACAATCAGCGAGGGCGTGGAGGTCAGTAATTTCACAGACGAGCAAGGGATCCGGCTTGGGGGCCACAGTCTTGCCACAGGATGTGGCTACTGCGACAGGCAGCGCGCACTCAGCTCAGAATCAGAGCAAAAAGATAGCAGGTCATTGCAGCTTGATTGCACATTTAGGCCAGATCGACGAACACAAAAGGCCTGTCTTCGCAGATACCGCCCGATGCCAAAAGGAGCTCCGCAAAACGAAAGCCGCAACACAGAAGAAGTCAGCGCCGATGCACCGGTCACCAAGGCCAGGCCTCAGACGAAGTCCTGGCGGTGGTCCAAAGGTCTTCAGCAAGGCGGGCGCAAGGGAGCACAAAAACTGGCAATGAGAAGTCAATGTATCAGTACTGGTAGCAAACTAATGGTTGCTTTCTCCGAATTTTTTGTGGCAGAGGTGCGAGATGGCATCGATCGATGAGGCCTATTTAGACTTCACGGAAGAGGCCTTCGAGCCGAACCCCACCCGGACCTAGGACCTAAAAGCTTCAGTCAAGCAGGCTGCCCAGCTGCTGGTTGGAGGGTCTGGCCCGGATTTGGCAGCCATAGCAGCCACAGCAGCCAGAGCCCCGTGAAGCGTCCACAGTCTAAGCAGCTTGCTGACTTGCTCCAGGCCTGCCCCAGTGGAATCTGCGTGGACGTTGCAGCTGCCGAGCTCTTACTTGTAGCCGTCACCCTTCTGTGCCGGCTCTGTCGCTCCTCCAAACTCTCAGGATTCTCATCTTCTGGTGGCCGCCCATTTGGTCCAACGGCTTCGGGACGACATCTTCAAAGAGACAGGCATGCGCATGCACGGGACATAGCATTAGCCGCCTTAGCCGAGGAAGGGTGCCTAGGACCTTTGTATGTCGTGCCTTTTTGTCCGCACTCTCCTTCGAAGGCTTCACGGTGGGCGCCTTAAGAGCTGTTGGCTCCCAGCATGTGGGTGCAGTCAGCGCCTTGGGCTGTCAGGTCTCTGCTGGAATAGCGGAAAGCAAGCTTGTGGCCAAGCTGGGTTCTGCTTGTAAGGACCTCATGCCTGTTGAACACATATCCTTCCGACCTCCAATAATCGTCGTCGCCGAAAGGTCACAAACCCAACCGCCAGACCATCGTTCCCAACTCAGGCACGGGCTTCCGATCTCCTGTGCACCAGTGTGAATGAGCACAGCAAAGCAGCACTAGTGCTTTGCAGGCGTGCTGTCCTTCATGGCCTCTGTCAAGATTAAGGATTTGCGCCGGGCTTGGAGGGGGCAGTGCAGGCAAGCGAGCGGCATGGATCTGCTGTGCTGCGGAACTGTGCCAACCTGCTGCAGCGCATTCTGAAGCCTGATCATGCAGGCCTTAGCAAAGCAAGCAGTAGCATCAGAGCAGCCACTTCACTTACGCCTTATGCACTTGAGGAAGGTCAGATGCCAAGCCCCGAGTACGAGCGAAAGCAGCACCGTGCAGGTCGACTGAGGAGGGGTTTCGCTTCTCTTCTCTCCAAATGCACATGCCATGGTTGGGGTCGCAGCCAGCAAGCTGGACGAGTTGGTCATCAGAAACTTGAGGGATCTGACAAAGCTCCCCGGAAGGAGCGGTGTCTTGGCTCGGTTGTGCTTGTGGCCATACGTGTGGTGGTCGCGTGGGGGTGCTGTGAGGTTTTGCTGGGCTTGGGCCTGCATCTCTGCGTTTGAGGGTAAAACAAGAATGTATCTAGAATCTAATATGTGAGAGCGTGAACGAATTGCGCGAAGGTAAGGCCCCTGGCCGTTGAATGCAGCCAAGGATTGCACCCGGCCCCAAAGGATTTCTACCGACAAGATGAAGCTGTGCAGGTCTTGCAAAAGCCACCTGGCAGCTCGCGGAATTTCGCCTCTTTCTCATGTGGTCGTGCATCGCTAAGGCTTGTCGAAGACGGCGAGTACGAGAGGTGGCAGGTGCTACCCGTAGACGTGCTGAGCCGAAGACGTAGGCTCTGGTTGTGCCTTAGTTTCTAAGGTGGGGCTCTTCGCAGAAGAAGTTGGAGCAGGTGGCAAGAGGAGGCATCTCTTGGGAGCTTCTTCGGGCAGGGCAGCTTGTTGCTTGGCACCCACACCTTCCGCCAGGTTCAAAGTCGATACCCTTGCCGGCTTTGTGCACACGCACGCTCCGCCCTGGTATCCCAAAGATACGGATCCCACCGAGAAAAACCATCTCTACGAGGTGGGTTTGCGACAGCAAAGGGGGCAGCAAGCAACGCAAGCGGAACGCAAGTAGTGCATCCCGACCCAGGTGATTCTTCAAGATCAGCCCTGTTGGCTATACTTTGATTTGGAGTTTTCCAGACTGACCAATCCTGAGCTTCAGCCGAACCTTGCAATGACTGCCTTCGATGAAACACTGTCAGCTTTCTGTCAAGATGTCTTGGGCTTGGCGGTGGATGAGAACAGTGTCATTGTCCTGGAGTCATCAACTCCTGAGAAGTTCTCAAAGCACGTTGTAGTGCATCGCTTGCTGGACAAGGAGAAGGACACAACGGTCCCGCTGGCTTTTGCAAACAATGCTCAAGCTGGCTTGTTCGTGAATGAGCTCGTGAACTATGCCAGGGCGAATCGTGAATGCAGCTCAGCACGACACCTGTTTGTCCAAGCCCCGAAGTTGTCAGATGACGGGCGCGAGACGACACTAATCGACGAGTCGGTTTACAGCCGCAATCGCTCCTTTCGCTTGCTTTTCCAGTCTAAATTTGCGAAGAAGCGACGCCTGGAGCTGGACGAGGCCTCGGGCAAACGCTTTTTCGACTACTGGCGTCCACACCCGAGCCGCGCACTGCTGGAGACCATGGTGACCTTTGTGCCACCGAAAACCGAACTCTTCCGACACACTCTCATTCCAGAGGGCTTCGGGCACATGGATGCAAAATCCTTGCGAGTTCGGCGTGCAAACCCCGCAGTTGTGCGCGATTCCGAGGGGAAAGTTCAAGTGATTCAGCAGGATCCTCTCCTGAACTTCTTGGTGCGAACTTGGGACGGCGTTCGAGCAGAAGAGGAGCAAGGGCCGTTTCCTCCCACACTTGTGCAATCCTGTGTCGAGATGGACCGGCGGTTCTTGACAGTTACTCTGTCAAACAATCGTTTCTGCCGGTGCAAGGGCTCATCCCACATTTCAAACCATGTGTACATGGTTGTCGATATGGAGCGGCGTTCCTTCTACCAGCACCTCAACTAAACATAGGTAGAGATCGAACATGTCATCCGACTGTCCGATGCACCATGTGCTGAGGAAGTGCTTCGATCCTGACTGTCGCGGTTTTCAATCGCCAGAGCACGCAATACCTCCCTGGATCCTCGAGACCGCCCAGGAGGAGATGCTATCCGCAAGAAGCAGACTCAGAACATGTTCACTTGGCAGAGCGCATTCAGGAAGAACTCGACAGCGCCGAGTGGGAAAGGTTCGAGAAGGAAGCAGAGCAAGAAGCCCTGAAGGTGCAACAAGCTTTCGCTGTCACAGGGCTTGGCTCGTGCGTTGCGCTTTCTTCAGGCCAATGCCAAGGAGCCAGATGAGCCCAACGAGCCCATTGCAAAGCGGAAGCGCATCTCGGAGGGCGGTGCCTGAGCGGCGATGATACTCCGAGAGATCACTGGGGAAACATGGGGTACCGGATCACTGGGGAATACTGGGGAAGCATGGGGCGAGAAAAAAGAGAGCTGCCGCACAACGATCTTGTGCATTGCTCGTTACCTGTGCCTGCTTTAGATGCTATGTTCGGGCATCAGGTCCAAAACCCAGGCAGGTGGCCGTGCTCATTCGAAGCTTGCGGCTCAAGTTTTGAGATCACTGCAACAAGCTGGCGACTAGCTTGTAGCTTGTAATTAGCCGAGATGGCAGGTTCCAGAAATATCGGCCTGTTCCTATGCTTGGCGGCATCAGTGAGTGCCACTTGCCTGCTTGGGAGCACAAAGCATCGACCACTCTCCGTTAAGGAACAAGATAATGCATTGCGAGCTCAAACTAGTTCGAGCATCAGGGCAGAGCAGCGGTGTTGAAGTTCGGGAGGATTTGCAACGGCACAAAATCATAAGCACCGGCTGTAGTGGGGTCAGACTCGTGCTTAGAGGCTTATCGTTTCAGCGTTGTTTGAGTCATGACTTCCGCGTCCATTTCCTAGCTGCTGGGATGGGAGACTGAACATGCTCCCTTAACGAAGCAGTCCCATGAGCGGCACATTCGAGAAACTGTCAAGGTCGCCTCAGTAGGAGCAAAGATGACGGGGTCCGCAATGACATGCATTTGCTCTGTTGTCCATGCCCAGGCTGATTCTGACTCTGGTTCAATTTGGCCCCCGAGCGACGTGTACTGGGATGGGCAGTGCACGGCCTGCCCTGCCAAGCTGTATTCGCACTGTTCTCGAGGGGGTGTTCTGGTTGGCGAGCGGGCCTGCGGATTTGGGGGCATGTACTGTGAAGGGAAATGCACAGAACCTCTCCTATCTGGGGCTCCGGAGCCAACACTCTACTGGGATGGCCAGTGCACGGCATGCCCGGCAAGTTTGTATGCAGACAGCCATTGCGCACTGGGAGGGACGATTGTGCAGGAGAGAGGATGCGGGCCAGCCCACGCACACTGCGAAGCAAAATGCCGCCTTCCACAGTCAACTCCCACACCTCAGCCAGAGCTGTACTGGGATGGCCAGTGCAAAGCCTGTCCAGCAAGCCTGTACAGCCACTGCTCCCAAGGCGGAACCTTGGTGGGCGACAGGGGTTGCGGATTTCTGCACGTGCTTTGCGAGGGCCACTGTGCAAAGCCTGCACCTGCCCCAGAAGGTGCCGACTGGATCATAGTTGGGGGAGGTGCTTCGGGTTGCACGGCAGCAGCCGCCTTGGCGGATGCTGGAGAGGACGTCCTTGTCCTGGAACGTGGTCATTCCGATCTGGACGTGCCCAAAACTGAATTTGCCAACACATGGCCGGAGGTTGTCAACACCAAAGCTGCCCAGAACATCAGGTGGAACGATGGCACATGGGGTGCTGCGGCAAATGTGCTTGGTGGTGGCACAGCAATCAACGGTGGACTCTACATAGAGGAGGAGCCGGAGTACTTCGAGAACAACTTTGGCCAGGCTCCCCACTCGCAAGTTTCAGATGGTCTCACTTCTTCTCAGTGTTCCGTTTGTGTTCTTCTCATTCTCCTGGAGGACTTCAACACCAGTCAATTCTACGAGAGTTCTCGCTGGGTGGCTGAGCAGCTCGCAGAGCCACTGCAGCCCTCCAGCTACGGCCACCGCTTTGTTCAGGCCCTCCATGAAGCAAAAGCTGGCTCACTGGATCCGCAGCCCAGCTTGCGCATGTCCTCCAACAGCTCCTGGGCAACTCGGAGCAGTTTTGAAACCCTCTTGCATGCGTGACTTGAGGTAATTTTGTGAGTAGACGTGTGGCACCAGGTCGCCTATTCCACGTTCAACACGACGGAGCGAACCTGGTCTCGCCGTGGTGCCGGTGACCTGCTTCACATGCAACTTGACTGCAATGCTTCCTTCGGGTTCCTCTCCCGGTATGTCTGGCTCTGCTGTCACAAACAATCCAAGGCGTTCCGACATGACGAATCTCAGATTTTACACCAACTACCAGGTCATGAAGATCAACTTTGAGAACGGCCGAGCCACCAGTGTGCAGGTGGAGAACAACTTCAAGGAAACGGTCACCCTTACTGCGAGAAAGGGTGTGATTCTGGCTGCTGGTGCCATTTTCACACCGCAACTTCTTCAAGTGTCAGGCATCGGTGACCCAGCATTGCTCCGTGGCTTGGGCGTTCCAGAGGTGGTGTCGAACCCAGACGTTGGCCAGAATTTCGTGGATCGAAACATTTTGAACTTCGGCGCCCCAGCTGAAGCAGTCTTCCGCCAACTAGCCAGACAATGTAACATGCTTCCCTTGGCTTTCCAGGCGTGTGGTCGTCGGAAAGAGGCCCGCTCAATGTCGGATACGCAATGGCCTCAAACTCCAGCTCGCGGATCACTTTCGAAACCGAAGGCCGCATGGGAGCGACGAAAAGCGATAGGCCCGACAGGCACATTGAAAGGTACTGTAAATTAAGAGAATTTTGCATCCCTGTCAGCTTGGGGAAAAGTGGCGAGTTCCTTTGCGATTGCTTCGCTGGCTCTGGTACCCCCCGACCAGCGTACCGAGCTGTTGCGCAAGACGATGACTCCTTTGTTTGAGGGACCCATTGCTCATGTCATGGACAACATGTGGCTCGGCAGACTTCGTTTTGTGTGATTCGCGCGGTAAGCCGAGCACTTGGTAGCCGTGCTGCTGCGATTGGCGCGGTACCATGTTCTTCAGACTCAGATACCGCGTTCCTGATCCTGTGTCCCTGACTATGCCCAGGATCCAGTTTGTAGCGCTGAATCACCAGACGTTCTCGCGTGGCAGCGTCACTGCTGTGTCTACAGACGCTCGGAAGCCTCCGTCAGTTACGGCGAACCACCTGAAGGCTGGAAGTATGAGACCGCTGCCAGTACGCTTCAATGAATCATTGCCTGCGTACTGACTCTATTGTAGACTCTGTAGGCAACAGAAAGGGCGAACTTTTTTGAGGACCCACGGGACCTGGAGCAGAAATTCACGGCCATGGCGGCGCTTCAGGAGCTCATCAAAAGCGAAGCTATGGCAGACCTTGTCGGCGCCAAGAGCTTCAGTGGAGTGAATGCCGTGGTTCCGGTTCCTTTGATGCTCTTTGCAATAGTAACTAGTAGTAGCGACAAGTTGTTGCAGAATGACCATTCCTGCTTACCCCGCATTAATTTGGCCAGCTTCCGAGGTCTATCTCAGCTGCATACAGAACGGCCCGCAGACAGACGCGAAGGCCATCATTGTACCATGTCTTCCTGATGCACCAGCTTCGAGGGAGCAGTATATTGAGTCTTGGACCACTGTGACAAGATGCCAAAAGTCTGGATATAATCATATAATGTTGTTCGTACTGAGTCCCGAAAGCCAGCGAGGTGCATGTACAATTGTGCCACAGTAAGGAATACTTTCGCAAGACGACGGTGTCGTCATATCACTATTTCAGCACTGCTTCGTATGGAAAAGTGATCGACGGCCCAGAGTTCACTGTCAAGGGCACAAGCAACTTGCACGTTTCTTGTCTGCACCATCGGCGTTGTCTCTGGAAGATGACCTGAATCGGACGGATGCCACTGCAGTTCCGCTTCCGGCGCTGAAGGTTGTGGATGCATCAGTCTTTCCGAATCCAACACGTCGCAAGGAAGCACTGATCACGAAGAGTATGTGCAGTCGTGCTTTCTATTGGCCGTACATCATGAGTACAAACTCAGGTGTCAACCCCCAGGGTACAATCATGGCCTGGCTCTCATGCTGTGCGGCTGCGCGCCTCTCGCTGTGCAAAAACTCTAAGCTTCACATCCGGTCAGGCCATGGGCCACTACATAGGCACCCTTCTGGCGAAGAAGGAGAAAGCAAGGCACAATTCCTTGCCTGGCGGGTGAAAGTGCTGACGGAACGGATGGTTCCCACAGCCAAGACAGGCAACTCACAGAGATGGTGTAGCGGATGCCGACACCGACACGTCAGAATGTCAGGCGCGACAGTTGGGCAGAGTCTAACTTGCCACCAAGTTTCTTGCCCAACTCTGAAGCCATGGCTAGCCCTCAGCCGCGGAAGGACGAACAGCGTCATTGCCGAAGTCGTTGTTGCTTTGCGATGCCCAGAAGAAGTCAGAAAGTGTACAGTGCACAGAGCACGATCATGCGCGATCGAGCATTTAATTTTGTACAGGCCAGGACACGCGTTCCAATGACTCCACTCGGCCGGGTTCGCCCAAGTATAGTGCAGGTGGGGCTGCTCAAATTATCAGGCCCGCCAGAACATAGTCTCCAAAGCGAGCTGTACAGATGCGAAATTTGTAAAGATGATACGCATGCATCGTTTTGCGCCGTGGATTCATACAAAGATCACAGGCCCGCCAGGCAAGGAGAGCAGAGCTTCCACACCGCATCGAGTTTGGAAGAGCCCCGAGGCGCGGCCTTGGCGGCAAGCTCGGGCAGAAGCTCTTGGGCGCGCTGCAACTGGAGCCCGAGGCTCTTTGCAGCTAACTGGGGCCCTGGGCTGTGCAAAGCAGATTCTGTGGATCAGGCCCCTACTGCTGAGCTTCAGAAGGCCTTGCGGCGTCCTTGCTTGTCGTCAGAGTGCCACATAGGGAGATATCTGCATGACAGACAGCCTGGATTGGAGCTGCTTCTCTTGTCGACATGCGTGAAACTTGAGTGGGCAGGGGGAAGCCAGGTGTCTTTGTCAGAGCTACAGCGCTTGGTCGGTGAGCAGTCCCTCTGGCATGTGGTTTTCTCTTGTGTCGCAGGAAGACATGTTGCCAGTGCCAGGTCTGCTGCCTTCGTCCATCGTCTGTGCCGCGGTGAGGACAGCGATGAAGTCCGCGCTGGAGAGATGAAGAGGACACTACGTCTTGCCTGCATGGCCATTCTGAAGACTCTCATTTTTCTCTGCCGATGGCTTTGATCAAAAGCTCCAGAGCATTACCAGGAAACAATACCTCAGCTTCAAGTCGCTGTCGCCCGCTGCCGAGAGTATGGCTGGCCTGTTAGCACGTCACTTGAGACCTTCCAACCAACGTGCTAGCAGATGTTGACCAGTGTCCCGCGTTGCACATGCCAAGTTCCAGCCTTCTGCATTCTGTTTGGTGGAGTTACGATGCAGCCCAGAGTGTCGCCAGTATTGAGCCAGACGGATCGGGTAGGCCTCAGCCGGATTTCCTGAGACCCTCAGCATTACTTTACTTATCCTCATTGTGAGTCAGCTTCAGCCATGCTTAGATTGGAGATTGTCGGGATCACCTTCATGTTGTAGCTGCCTGTGGTTTTCTGCAAAGCTTGCACTTCGTCCGCGGAATTGAATGCCTGAGCTTGATAAGTTTAAAGTATCTGACAATGCAGCACCTCAATCTAGCCTGCTAGTCGCCGGCTGCATGCTCCTCGGCCTCCGCGGCCGCGTGCCATGAGCGGAAAGCGAGTTCCGCTTCGTCGGTCAACCTCGTTGCTGTGGCGGGGACCGGCGTTGTCCAACCATGCCACTGACTCTGCCGAGAGTGTCTTGCTTCTTCTGGCGCCCCAGGCCAGTGCACAAAAGCTTGATTAACGAGGTTTCACTGCTCGCCATTGCACGAGAGCATGTCTGCGAAAGGCCATGCAATCCCAGGAAGTACGGCTTCGACTAAGCGAGGAGCAGGTGCAAACTGCAGCTGACCTTCTGGAGCTTGACAAGGCAAGCTCAGTGGGGAGGGCGCGCCGGGCTGCGCGGCAGCGTTGCAACATGTGACAAGCTCGGTCAAATTGTCTGTGCACAGGCTCCTGAATCAGTCTCAAGCGATTGGTCTAGGTCCTAGGTCCTTCTCGTAAGTGGTTTTCCAGCCAGGAAGATCTGAAAGAGCTTGGTCTCAACATGGTTGAACGGAGACGTGTTCTCCGTTGGGCCTGCAGCCCATCGCCGATTCTCGACTGATTCTCAACTGTGACAGCATGTAAACTGTCGAACAGTCATGTTGTCGTGCGATTCCAAAGTTTGGGATTTACGGCAGGATTGACTTCCTGGAGAGCCTGGAGAGTGCTGACGATTCGCACAGTGCTGAAGGTCTGACCAGAATGCTTTGCAATCTTCCTTTGTCTACAGGGCTTCGAACTTCAAACGAATCCAACCATCAAAGACAGCTCGAAACCATGAGAATGGTGAGGATGAAGGAGCTTGAGGCTGCTTTGTGCCTGTCAGCGGCCAAACCCACCATAAATTCGACGCTGTCTCCGATTCTCCACATTATTGGTGGGAATTGGTGTCGCGCTTAGACCTGTCCAGGGCGTCCGCTCCAAGCTGCGGAGCAGGCATCGGACTGGCTTATCTGATCCCTACACTGCATCGCTTAAGCCCGAGTTTAGCCACAGGCCCTCTGCGATTTGGATATGTGGTTCGCCCTTGCTGATGCAACCTCTTTTCCGGTAACATGGCATCAAAAAGCGTGACAGCATGACTTGGTGTCAGCTACGCTGAAACTGAATGTTAATTTCCTACTAAGGTTAACATCCGCCAAATGAAGGAGTCCTTCAAAGATGATCCTCACAAATTCCGGCATGTGGAAGGCGATGCAGCAAAGTCTGCTATGCCTGAGTATGACGCGAAGGACTTCTGCATGCATGCTCGAAGCATCAGCCACTTGGCTGAACTTCTCTGCAACCTTTATGGTGCAATTTATGTGTCGCAAAGTTCTTTCCAAAACATGCCGCATCGATAAGCTTGAAGAAAGGAGAGAACATGTTGGACGAGCACTTCGACCTGACAGCAGAGCGGATCCAGGAGCTTCTTGTCCGAGCCTGGCAAACGCAGAGCGCAGTGCAGTCAGCGCAGTCTTGGCGGCTGAGGATTTTTTTGCGTGTCTCCAGCGGGAACGAGATTCGCACTGCTGAAGAGCTTCTCGAAGGCCTCGCTACACCCACACTGTTCACTGATTCACTGATTCCGTGTGTTTCTAAGATGTAACCCCGCGACGGAGACTTGGAGGTCTGAGCAAGGTCGGCATACACTGTCAAGATGTCGCGCGTGTGGCCGCGCCATTTCGCCTCATCATGGGCCAAAGGAGCAACCGAGGCCTGAACCCTGCCAGCATAGTTTGGAGTACGTTTATGCCTTTTGAACTGGACACCGGAGGCTTGCAGCCCATGGAACTGGACGTGATTCTTTCTAGATTGAAGCTGGCACAACTTTTGGGGCGCGGAGAAGGCATCTCCCCAGAGCAATGTCCATTGCTAGTATGTAACATGTTCTCTGTCTCAGGCAGCGTCAGCGGGAGCGTTCCCTCTGGTCGCTTCACTGTCGTGGACTACAACATGCACAGAGCTGCAGTGCAGGAGTGCGGGAGGGTTCTCATGGGCCCATGGGCTTGTTGCCGTGACACATACAGTCACCTGCGGCTCGCAGGATCTGTCTGGTGAGAAATTACTCAGATTCTTCTTCGGCCATCGAGCTCAGCATCCCTCCCCTGACACGATTCACCGTTGGATCCACATGCGGGGCTGTCACCTTATTTTGCTGATGGCCCTGATGGTAAAGTACCGGCTTTCTCCACTTGGCGTGGAGGATATTATTGAGCAAGGTGCCTGGCCTGCAGAAAGCGTGCTGGTGAGGACGGATCTGATCTGCATCAATTGCAGATGAAGCGTCTCCCCCCACGAAGGTCCGACGAAAGTCGGCGAGCATGGCAACAACATCTTTGTTACACTGGACTGGTTGCAAGTCGACCCTGCGTCATCAAGACAGCGGGACGTATTTGACGGCTCTGGTCCGGTGCAAATTACCTGCTCGTACGTGTCTCTCATAATTTCTGCACCACATCGTGCAGACACACTGACCCTCGGTTGGGCGTTTTTGTGACAGGCTTTGCAGATTTATAAAATCTCGAAGCATCTCGTCGCACATGAAAACCATCCCATCACATCGGTGTGCAAAGGATCACCGTGGTGCAGCCCAACCGCTTGTTTGAGCAGGAGCTTGCACACTTGCACTTCACTTGCGCTGCTTGCAACATTTGCATCTGCCCTACTAAACCCGAAACCCAACACCCATGAAACCCTTCTTTACTAAACCCGAAACCCATGAAACCCTTGTTTGGTTGCTAAAGGACTGGCCTGGTGCAGAAAACTCGAAGGCCGCCTTCAATGACGCCTGGTCGGAGGCCCTCATGGACCGGCTGAAGCGGCCCGCTTGCAAACCAAGGATCCCAGGTTCTATTCGACTAAACTCCCGCCCAGCGTAAGTGCTCGGACTGTTGGAGCTCTTTCTGCACCAAATTTCGCAGGTTTGCTTGAATTGAGGGGAGACCCAGACCTTCCTTTCAGAAAGTCTGCAGTTGTTTGATGCTTCTTTGGGCTTGGCTGTTGCCTCTCGGTCCCTTGCTGCTTTGCGAGCTGGCGTCGGAAGCTCTAGCAATGCCGCCTGTGGAGCTTCATCGCCATGCTGGTATATTTAAGGCTTGCGTCGTAAACTCGAGCTGAGGAGATTGGCGTCCAGACTGGCAGAGCATGATGTCAGGTATCTCGCGCAGCACATTGTGCAGCTCCTTGGCTGCTTCTCATCCAGTAGTATAGGGGCCTTAATAATCAGAATAGGGTTTTGGGGGCCCATTATACTGTAATCATAACGCGGAACCCCACAGATAGTATAGTGGTTGCTCCTACTGTTACTGGGCTTCGAGCAAAGTATGTGTAGTCTTCGGGAAGAGTTTGAAACGGACCGAAGGCTTTGTGTCGATGATTTGCTGTCGGTCGTCCGCGCTTTTGCCGTCCCTTGGCCCGCGCAGAGAAGTGTAAGCAACGAGACTGCTTGACTCACGATTCTCGCAAAAATGTGAAGCTCGAGGCAAGACTCGACAGGCTGGAGGAGGACTTAAACCCCAATCCCAGCACCGCCTCTATGACATCTTCCTGGGCAGCTGGCAGCCGGGTGCAGTTTTCACCGTCTGCTCTCGTTTGCCTTTCAAACCTCCCGAGCGAAGTTAAGTTTGAGATGCCCTCTGGGAGGTGCCGCCAGCCAGCTGGCTTTCAGAGGTAGGGTTGCTTCGAGATGCTTCGAGTTCCTCCTCTGACTCCTGCCGGCTGCGGCCGAGTCTGCCCTGCTCCAGGTCTCCCTTGTCCGGCTCCAGCTGGCTGTGGTTTGTCGACGCTTGCGCAATCATCGGCTGATGCTGCGCAGACTGGTGGAGAGGGTCAGCGAGGCTGGCGTGGACAGAAGGCCGTGCGCTGTTGAAGAAATGTCGGATGGTCAGACAGCGTCGCCCGAATCTTGAAAGGGGTTTTACTGTAGCTGGGTCAAGAATCAGGCTGGCTGGCTACTTGCGGGACATAGGTGACGATGTCGAAGTTTCCCTGGAAGATGCCGGGCACTTGATTGACAGGCGGGAGTAGTAGCATGGTACTGCTTCGATCCACATTCCATAGCTTGGATGATCTTTCGGCCTTTGCTTGTCCGTCGAAGCCAAATAGTTTTCAATCGTTCAGCATGTGTGCTTTGGTGTGTAAGTGTCTCGTGTTGGAGAGTCACACGTCACATAGTATTGCTTCGAAAATTCACCGTGGCAGGTGTGCTGCTTTGGCTTCAGCTTACGACACCGTGGTCAACAGGGAGGCGGACGCACAAAGACGGCAGTCCAAGGACGATCGCGCCCAGAGGCAGGCCTTTTGGGAGGATTTTTTTGCCTGCCTGCTTCAGGATGCTGCATTGCAAGAGCAGGAGGAGCAGAATCGCCACGCAGAGCGGCTGAATGATACTCTCTTCGTCTTGACCACCGCCACGACGCTCTTTGCACCCGTGCAATTCCTGGCCGGCTCCAGCCTTAATAATTCGCGGTTCTCGCACTTTGCGGTTCGTGGTTGAGCAGCTACAGGTGTGTATGGCATGAACTTCGCAGTCGACGGTGACCCTACCATTCCCGAGCTCAAGTGGGAGTACGGAATCCCGGCCCAAGTACTCAAGCATGCACCCATGTTTGTTCAGCGGAGGTACACACGCATGTGAAGTAGGATGAACTGGGCAACTCATCTCCCTTCGCGAGAAGCCACTGACGATGATCTACGATGGATAACAGCCATGTTGGCTTCATTCGTTTCAGTGGTGTTGAGTGCGACGATGCATCTAGGCTATTTGTACTTTTGGATCCTGGTGGTCATCTACCTCATCGGCAGCAGCGTGCTGGCCGTGAGAGTTTTCAGACGGTTGAGGCGCGTCTGGTGCGGGGAGCCGAAGTAAAGGAGCCCATCAACGCTGACTTCCGACTTGCTTCCAGGATCCAGCAGAAGAGCGCTCTTCTGTTCAGGACCGACGCCCGTTGTGATCATGGTTGAGGCTTCTGTCAGCGTCTTTTTCCATCCCCACGTCTGCCTTTTGTGCTAGGAATCGTCGCAGCACTTCATGGACAGAGGCAGCAACTTGGCAGTGACATCAGAGCTCCCTCCTGTCATTTAGGTTTGTGGAGTCGGAGAGCAGCCCATATATACTATATATTATATAGTTACCCACTATATATTACATAGTTGTATAGAAGAAGAGAGCTACTTGTAGCAGTGTTGGACCCCGGGCCCAGGGCGAGAGTCGGCCGAACCTCCACGGACGTCCTTTTGGTGAAAGGGAGGATTTCAGCGATGCCACCTATCAGGTGCTGCCAGGATGATCGCCGTGGCAGAAAAAGCAATCCAACTCAACACTGCTTGCATGTTCGTGTTTCAACACGCACCATCATTCGAAGTGCAAGTGCATGTACGGGATGACAGGTATGGCAGATCTGGATCCGTGGCTGGCCAGCCTGTCAGCAGAACTACTCGGGCGTCTACAAGATGACACTTCGGACTAGCTTAGCTGTGGCAGTCATAAGGCCAACATGGTACTCGTAGAGCAGTTGACGTTGACCCAGCATGCGATGCCCAAGGATCCGTCACGTCGACCGCGAACGCTCGTCTTGCATCATCGCGGCCGGCTAGATACGGAGCGCAGCCAGTGCCGAGCAGCTTGCGGATTGCTCCCTAGAAAGATGGCATGCAGAGGACCATGCGAAGAACTGGATGGCAGGCCCTGCCGTCGTGTTCAAGTTAGCCCGGGTTTTGGAAGACCCTGCCAGGGCGCACTTCTGTAGGAGCCTGAGCGCCTACCATGTCAGTCATGTTTCCGTCAGTCTTGCTGACCTGCTGAGGAGTTGACAAAAACCGTCAGCAGATCGTGTGTGCCCTGGCTGCACAAACCCAGTGCTTTGTGTTGCATGTAGTATGTCTGGGATGCGCGCTGCAGCTTTTCGTGCCGGTACGGTCCAGGCTTTTCCTGAATATTGCGTGGCGGCCATAAAACCTGGCAGCGCCGCTGGACACCAGTCTCAACTGAGTCGACCATAGATGTTTGCTCAACGCACTATGCAGGAGCAGACTGGCCAATCCCGGCATCAGTCATAGCAGAGACCGCGGCCTGGATGCAACTGCGTGATATCGCAGGACATGCTACCAGCTTTCGCTTGCTGTGCTTCATGCCTGATGCAAGGCAAGGAAGCTCTTGCAAGAGCGAGATTGGGCCTTGGCTTCTTGATGCCAGTTTCTAAGTTTCGTGTCATCTGCATGAAAGGTCAGCTCCCCCTTCCCTTGCAGCCGACTGGCTCTGGGAGCAACAGATTTCGTCAAGGCCAAGTCCTCCGCGACATGTGCGGAACATTGCGGACGTTTCCGCTGCAGGTCGAACATCACGGGTCGCAGTCTCACCTTGAGCGATAAAGCTTTTCACAAGGGTTCCCGCCCCCCGCGAGCTGTCACTTCAACCACTGCCGAGGCCTCGCATAACCGCCTTCTTCAACGCCAAAGCTCGCGAGGATCAAGAAGGTCCTGAGGCCGATTCACCAAGGTCCCAAACTCACGGAGGCCTCTCCAAAACCTCTGACGCAGGAGAAGTCGCCGATGCGTACAGAGTCGGAGTCTGAAAACGAAGGCCTTCCTCCGTGGCCGGTGTCAAGTATTCTCCTGGTTTCGGCGAACAGGCTTCGACTTGGGCAGCGAGGAACCCGTGACAGAAGTGCCGCCCGAGACCGCACAAGCGAAGGACGCCCTGCTCTTTCTGCGCGTTCTGCCATAAATCGAAAGCCGAGCCAGGAGAGCCGCCAGGGCCAGGATGTGCTTCCAATCAACGTTGCCGAGTTCCATCGCGCGAGCCGTCAGACCCTCAGAGTTTGATCCATGTCTGGCCTCGGCCCAGCCGAGCGGCAGCGAGCGGCGGCGAGCGGCCCAGAGGTTTGCACTTCCTCGGCACCTGGCGGGAGCGCTTCGAGCGCTGGCGCGCCGCCGGCGGAGGCGGAGCAGGTGCGATTTGCGAGGAAGGAATGCGTGCCGCCAGTCCTAATTATCTGGACGTGGTTAGATTGCGCCGGAAGCCCTTGACGATAGAGCTGCAGCCGATGTGTATTTCTGGCGGCTGAAGGTGCCCGAGAGGTGGGATGCAAGCGCCTCGTGTAAAGTAGGATGCACGCCTACAGATGCGTCTAGATTCTAGAAAACGAGCCGCTGCGGGGTACGTAAGGGCCAAAATGGAGGTGTGTATGAGAGCCATTCAAGAGAAACAGCTCCTCAAAACAAAGGGCGCTTTGGTTGTTTCTGTTCTCATGTCTGCCAGGGCCAGAAGTTCCAGAGCAAGCCGACCGACTGCGTCAGGACGAGTGCTGCAACTGTTGTTTTCCGAAGTGCAGATGTTGCTTAGAATTGGACATCGGGTCGGGAGCTTGCTCAATGTCTCCCCTGTCTCTCGTTCGGCACGGTGTCCTATCACGACTGCATACAGCAGTCGAAGGAAGCAAGTGTGAGCAGGCCTTTGCTTGGAGTTGGCATGTGGTGCCAAGTTTGATTCCGAACATTCAGGAGGTGGTGGAGCTTCAGCAAGATGATGCCGAGCCTGTGTGGGCTCATTTGGCAGAAGCCTCGGTATGGTGTGCCAGTCGGCCGACGAAGAACACTTCGCAAGCACAAAGATTCTGAGGACATGGATTGCTTCTTCGCCTCCGTAGCAACTCGTGACATGGCCCAGTCGGCATCGGCCTCGACTCACTTCTTCGTTGAACTTGCTAACCTCTCGCTCTGCCCGCAGGCCGGGACAGAAGCAGAGGAGGAGGCCCACTTGCCATTGGTTTCACAAGAAGCTTCGTTTTGCACAGCTCTGGGCTGGGAATCTCACTGGATGGTCAGGTTCCCACAGCCGTGGTCTCTGGGCTGGGAGCCAGTTCGGAAATATGTTCAGCGCAAGATTCTCAGTTGCGCACGGTCGCTTCTAGCTGTGCAAGTGCGACAATGTGTCCCCGACTGGACGAACCTTACATCTCCTGCTATATAGTAGCAGGAACTATGCCGCTCGTCGCGCTGGCGTGCGTTCCTCAGGCTTTTGCTTCCATAAATCTTGTTTGCGGCTGCTTCGTTCAGGTGAACACTCATCTCTGGTCTGTTGAGCGAGCGCGGGCAGTTCTGCCATCGTTACTTGCTCAGCTGAAAAGCAAGCGGGCTACCCCGGTTCTTCACAGGCTCTAATTGGTTCCAGCAGCTGGAATCCTTGAAGCGAGACAAGGTTGAGGCTGGTTCCAATATCATCTGAGCTACTTCGCTCCGTGCAAACCTGAGTGGCTTCCTTGTGTTCTGCGTTTCCACTTCACGCACATAGCGCCCGAGGTTGAAGAGACCTGGAAGAAGGCACCGTAGCGGGCATCGAAGCAAAGGTGTTGGCAAATCTCGTCTAGCGATCTTAGGGCCTTGGCAGGTATACCAGCTGCTTGCCAGAAGCACAGCCACAGCAGACACACACAGCATGCTGGCAGCTTTGTTGTGCAAAGGTGCTTTCCAAATCCTCTACTGAAGCGCACTCTCGAGGTGGTGGCTTGCAAAGACGAGCCAGACCATGTGTTCATGAGATCTTGCGATGAGGCCGTGGCGCCCCCGGTTTGTAGCATCACCTCGTAGAATGTTGATGTTGTTGATGTTGCGGAGCCCATCTAGGCATTGTCGGTGAAAGGAGTGCGAGCTGCAGCCTGAGAAGATGCCTGAAATCTTTGGGATAACCACAGATCTGGGTAGTCTCCGGCAAGTCACATGCCAAAGCATGGCAGGATCCCTTGGCTTGGGCAGAAGCCCTGCGCAAGGCCGTTCGTTTGCAGACATGCCCGGGCCGAAGAGGCATCCCAAGCCGGCATCCATGGACCTTCAATTGCCTTGAGCCTTCAGGCTGTACCTGCAGCGTTGGCATTGGGCCAAGCCAACTCGTCGCGAAGCTCGCGACGAAGGCACTTTGGGCCGATATGGTGTTCCGTGAAATTCGAAAGCGCTCCTCGACATGCAGGCCTGCAAGCCTAACGGACAGCGGAGGGTATTGCAGAAGGAGGCCCTGTCGTGGAATCTGGATATAGCAAGTAGTAGCAATCATGATGACATGTGCCTGTGATTGCATGTTGCTCACGTGCACTCTGGCGAATCCATCAAGGTCAGGCCATTCATTGCTGATCTGCCTTTGCGGGACATGCCCCAGGCCTGCGCTTGTCTGTAAGCTTGGCTGGCGAGAGTCGATGCCTTTTGTTGGTCCCTGTTGGCAGGGTCCGTTTATAGAGATCCCGCAAGCTTGGGGCTCAAGGGAAGCAAAGGACCTTGCGAAGGTGGTTTAGTCTGCGGCGCCAATGGATTCACAAGGACCGGACCTGAGGCCAGCTGTGCTCAGTGCTTCGACCAAGATCTGAATCGTCCTACATTGTCATTCAGTCCGAGGGCCATGTGATTCTGGTGACCATTAGTGCATGTTGGAGATCCTTCCGATTGGGTGAACCGATGCCAGATCGGTTTGACAGTTTCAGGAAGTCGAGAGTTGGGCCCGGGACGGCATTCGTTCAAGCACATGGCGGTGTGGTGTTGATGGGCGGTCGAGGATGTATAGTAGGCTACAGAAGACATGTGCTAGTACCTGCTCACGATGTCTCGCATGCTGTCAGGCGAAATGCGGCAGTGCCCACGCAACAAAAGGCCTTCTCGACAGCACCTCGGGTCCTAGCTATGCCAAAGAGCCCCGACCTGAGGGAATCATCTGAGACTTCTCGGCTCTTTTTTTTCTGGAGATGTGAAGTCACGGTGCATCCGTGTGAGAGCCCACGCCGGACATGTCAATTTCTCCCCACGACACCCTCACCGAGGTGCACCACTCATTGCACATTTACAGGGGCAAGGACAGGATTCGCAGGCACCGGGCAGACCTCTGCACCGGCTTGTGAGCTGCTGAGCCGCCTGACATGTGCTTAGGACTCGAAAGCTCCCGAGCCAGGGATTCGGCTCCATGAGAACAAAGCTGCGATTCTTGGAGCAGAGCCTGTCATAATCGTTCCTTGGGCGCCTGCTCCTGCACGAGTTCTTCCCCCATGTCGGCTCTGAGGAATCCATTCAAACTGGCGCGGTCGGGGTATGGAGGAACTGGCTCCGGAGTCAGCCAGGGTGTGATTGCAGGAGACGGTCTGGGAGTCTAGGCCCTGGGCCCTAGGCGAAGCCTTGGCCCTGCCTGAAGGGGCTCGAAGACCCAGAGAATTGAGGAGCAGAGTTCGCCCGCGGGCCGCTGCAGCCGACCTGGGCCGCTGAGCTCGCGGATCGGAGGAGGCATCTCGGCCGAAAGCTCTGAGCTCTTTGATCTCTTGTGCTTGAACTTCGCAACACTTTCCAGCTTTGCTCTTGCAGCTTCTGAAGCGGCCTCCCGCCAGTTCTGCATTGATGCGGTCAGGGCGCTCGGCCGGCCGTGACCGGAGCTCCAAAGACGGATCTCGGACTTCCCCGGGACTCCCAGAGCCTCTTCGCTTCACAAGCAAAGTCTACTGAGCAAGGATAATGGCCGGAGCTGGCTACAGCACGGCTCCTCTGTTGAGCCGGATAATGTCTGCCGATAGCACTCGCTGAGCACATCGGCATCCGAGTGAAAAAACACCTGGGCAGTTCAGAGCAACATCTACCTGGGTCAGGACATGCACAAGTCGGCTTATGCATCTCAAGACTGCATGTATTCAGCGATGGCTCAAAAGAAGGCAAGCTGCGCAGAAGCATTCTAAGTTCATTCAATTGTTTCATTGAGCGACCGAGCGAACCACAAAGACGTTGAGCTGTTGCACACAGAAACCAGCTTCATGCACACGGCAGTCCCGAATTTGAGAGATCAGACAGCGTGTGCCATGTGAACGGAATGAGAAAAGGCGGTCCTGTTTGGGCGGCACCACGCAGGGGACCTGCCTCAAGTCTCAGATCAGCATCAGCAAGTTAAACCAAAAGCTTGCCATCTTCTCCAGGACATGATCAGCCCCTGAAGGGCGAAGGCTCGCTGCAAGAAGTATCGGCCGGCGCGGCTGCCGCCGTGCTGTCAGCTTGGCAGCGAGTGCGACAAGGACTGATGGTTAATCGCGGCGTCTCTCCTTTACCAGCTTGGTGCGACGAAATCAGCATGAATCCTAGCCCCAGCACCAAAGGACTCGTGGCGCTGGCCTCTGACGCAGATCAAGCGGCAGCAGGTGTGCAGCTGGCTGACTGCGAGCATGCAGCGACACTGGTTCATGCCGGTCTTGCTGACATGCACTTCACCCGCACAGATCTGCTTGGCCCAGGGCCCAGACAGAGTGTACGCCACATCCTGATGCCGAGGTCGGCAGCATTGGAGGCCTCAGCCAAGCGACTAGACGCGATGCGCCGGCCAGAGTTGCTCTTCTGCTTTCCTCGTCGATGGATTGGTCGAATCTTGGCGGATCTAGTCACGATAGACAATGATAGGCAGCAGCCACTCTGGAGCTCTCCCCCCAGGAGATCTGCACAATCTCGTTCAGCTGGGAACCCGGCCCGGGCGAGCAACTGAACGGAAGATGCGTTTCATGGACATGGCTGCGCTGGTCGCCGCGCAGCTCCAAAGGATGACGATCTCTCCTCAGGAGGTGTGGTCGGTGTGGTGTCGGTGTGGTGATGTGTGGCGGTACCGTACCTCTCAAAAAGGATGCGAGCTGGGATGTCACGGTGTTGGAAGGAGAAGATGTGGAAGAGCTTCACCCAACTTGCGATTGAGGAGGCGGAAGTGGGAGTCCTTGGGACAAAGCAATCCTTCGGAAGGCACCTGCATCTCAAAGGCGGAGCAACTGGCCAGATTCAGCTCATGCAGGCAGGGGTCTTCTGTACCATGTCTTTCAAGACCTCCAGGGTCTGCGACCCCTCTGCCAGAGGACTGGGAGTGGCCCTACATGTTTGCCTTGGCGGACGTGGGTTTTGATCTTGCCCTGCGCCACGGACGACTTGGCGGCCTCTCAAAGCTCCGAATCCTGGAAATTGGATGGGGCCAGGCCGGAAGCCAAGAGGTCAGTCAGAGGAAGGGTCGCCATAGTTAATGCAACGCCCCTGCAGGGGATCAGCGGCCGTCGGCTTCTGGATAATGCGGAGAGAGCAGGACTCTGGCAGCTAAGGTTGCACAGCTTTCGGGGTAGCCTTTCGGCTTTGCGAATCGCTTGGCATTTCTTTGGTCAGGTTTGCGCCTGCCTGTCAGGAAGTGGCCTGCCACAACTGCAAATCGAGTATGAGGTTGTGGAACTGCATCCCGCGGTGGCAGCAGACGCTCGACGGGAGGCCGAGACAAGAAAGAAGGCAGGACGATCGCTCCATCCCTCAAAGGGTTGATGCTTCCAACGATAAGCAAAAGCCACTAAGAGAATAAACTGGCACGACGACTGGCATAGGGCTAGGACCAGGCCTAGGGCCAGGCAGCATAAACCAGATTGCATGCAACTGCTTGGCCTATCGTCATGCTTCGAGCGTCTTAGCTCTCTCAGCATGCTGTTGCTTGGCTGGACTTGCAATATCCTCAAGCTGCATCCCTGGTAGGGCACTGTCAAGGCCTTCCACGTTCACGAGGGACCGTGGCAGAAGATTCTGCCAGAGCTTCCAGCACAGTCGTACAACCTACTCTTCTACGACCCTTTGAACATCAGCCCGAGGCCGAACGAAAACCATGTTAGCGCCGCTGCATGTGCATTCAGCGTTCCCAGCTTGATCACCAGATATATTGGGGAGCAACAGCGCTTCGAAAGCTGGGGCCTTCCCATGTGTGTCTTCGAAGCGCTGCAGTGAAGACCTCGGCTTTCACGCTGACATGCACTGGCATTCTTCAGCATACTAGTCAGTCCATTGCCACACACCGTCCAAGCTCCTGCGTGAGGTTCTATCGAGTCCTTCGTCCCGGGGGTGTGGCTGTGCAATATGCAGTTTCTCACAGGACGAGCCTGATCCGGGGGAGAAAGATTCCGCGTCAATAGCTCTCTTTGAAAGCTGTGGCAAGCATCTCGTGGCCAAAAGCCGCTGCTGCCTGCAGGACCTCGACTGTGGAGCTGTTGCAGCGTCAGATTGCCCCATTGTTCAGTGCGCTGAGTCTTTCTAGGCCGGGGTCGCTGGTGCGAACTTTGGGGTTGGTGTTGTGCTTGATTTTAGTTTTCGATCTCGGCTAGGCTATCCGGGCTACGAGCAGAAGCCAGAAGCTGAGAAGCTGAAGTGCGGTCCAGAAAGCCAATTCGGAAGCCGTGCGGCGCCACCTCGAGCATTGAAAGGCGAACTCCTCCTATGTGACTGCGGCGGAGGCCCCAGCGTAGCCTTTTTGGCTTTTGACACTGTCTGTTGGCGGCTTGACGAGACAGGCGCACGACATGTACGTGCCAGCTTTCGTCAAGTAGTTCCAGTGGATCGACTTGGTAGACCACCAGAATCACCGAAAAGGAGCTATCGGTGGAACCTGGCGCATGATGGCAGCCGAGCAAGTTTCCATCGGCGAGCACATCTGGCTGAATAGCAGACGGCTGTCAACGCAGTCAAAGCTGCCATGCACACCCCCACAGACATGGAGGTGTCACGAAGATCGCGGTTCTGTCCGACGCAAGACAGCCCGGGCAGGGACTTACCTCGGCTTGCAGCTCCATCGCGAAAAGAAAGAAAATGGTTGGAGCTGCGTCGTACTGCTGTCTCTTGCAAACTGTGTGGACAGACTGGACAGCTGAGTTTCCCATGTCATCCTTCACACATCCTTCACTTTCCAATTGCGGGCATGCCACAGGTTGGGCATGCCATGTCGGCAAAGCTGCAGGCGAAGTTGGTTGTGGGTGTAGGTCGTCCGATACGTACAGTCCAAGGCAACGACACATCCAGTGCTCCAGACAGTGTCGTGTCTAGCTAGAACTGTGCGTCTAGTTTGACGTATTGCAGGGAGACCTAGCAGCGGTCGTCGCGCGGCAGGAGCGTGGGTTGGAAACCTGCAGGGACATCCAATCTTTGGAGCCACAGCCTTAGTGTGGAGCACCTTGCAGCCACTTGTATGCATGGAACTCGGCCACAATGACATGCAGGCAGGGACGACTGCGTGAGTGGACGCTTGGCTGCACCGTAGCAACTCTTCTGCATCCTGGCTCCTATCCCAGTTTTTTCGTCGGAAACCAACAAGCTGGATTGGCCTGCACATGACCAGAGCATCAGCTTTCCCGCAGCCTTACTAGCATCAAGGTTTGGCGCCAAGGGCGAGACCCTTTGGCTCAACGCGCAAGGCCTCGACCAGGCTCGGAGTATCTCGGAGTCGGGGGTCCACTCACGGGAGTAGTGCCTACGGAAGCCCTCCAGGCGAACGCTGTCAGTTCGGCACCTGCACAACGGAAGTCGGGATCTTGCAGTGGGCAGTTGCCAGAACGGTGCTCATAGATTTGCTTTCTCAGGTCCGTCAGTGCTGAGATGCGTCTCGACCGCACTGTGAGCATGCTGGCCCTTTGCATGCCACTCCCAGCGACTGCGAGAAGCTGCGAGCTAGGAACTGGGGAATTCGATGCCAAGATCGAGCTGCTGCCGTCAAGATCCTCTCAGAGGCCCTTGATCAACAGGGATGGTACGTCCCTGGCATTCGTTCAGAACTCGCTTTGGCTCATCACATGGCTGGCCGATATTTCGTCCTATCAGCCACCAGGTATCGCAACAGCTTTCCGAGCGTCTTCTTGCCTGCGATTTGCGTCCGTGTCCCAGAGCCACTTACACCTCTGAAGCTCGGTTGACAGTCTCGGGTTGTTTCGCGAGGGTGATGACGGGCATGGAAAGTCCCACTGTCGGATCCAGGTTCCATTCATCTGACCTTGAAGCTCAAGCTTGCCGTGCCGGGTTGGGTGCCTGCCTCACTCTGGCAACGGCATTTACATTTCGATAGCAGCTGCTTCGGAGCCGCAGGTAGAGCCGATCAAGAGAGGTGGCCATGGCCAGTGCGACGACGTGAGTCGCTCTGCGCCCCTTCCTGATGCAAGCAACGTAGCTCGGACAGCACTCGGAGAGAGCAGCGAAGAGAGGTGCACGAGATTGCACCAGCCTTTTATCCCAGGAGCCCGCCGTGCTCCTCAGGCAGCGAGGGCTTTGGTGCTTTCGGGGCTGTCAGCTTTCGTGATCGCCGCAAAGTGTTGAGAGGACTGCACAACAGCTCTTTGATGCCTTGTCTCCAGATCCGGCGCCTTGGTTTCCCTGAGCTCAAACAGCTTCGATTCTCGACGCTGTACGATTTGCTTTCGAGAGGAGATGTCTGTTAAGCTGCAATCATCTGCACCAAGCAAGCAGCTTGTGACCTGAGGTTAGGCTGCGCGGAGTTGGGCTTGCCGCCAAACTTGGTCAGAGCCTGAGAATACTTGGCTTTCGAGTTCAGGGCCTAACTGCACGGTTTTGACGAGAAGAGAGTGCTGACTCAGAGGCACCACTAGCGCAAGCTCACGTTGCCGCCTCAGTTATGTGCAGATTGGAGGGGTAGGTCGGGTAGGTCTTATGTCTTAGTCCCTAGCCGCTCTAGCCCTTGCGGCGACATCGACTGCTCGCCTGGTTCCCACTCAGAGTGCGATGTTGGCAGGGCCTTGCCTTGGCCCGGGGCCCGCACCAGCAAGCAGAGATGTTGCGCCCAATCTGAACAGACTTTGTCGGAAGGAAGTAGTTCTTCTGCTCCGAACCGCGATTTCAATCCAAAGCCAACGGTGCCCAAAGTTGGCGGGTTGGCCAGGAATTGCGAAAAAGTGTATGTATGAGTGTGTGTGTGTGTGTGTGTGGGTGTGTGTGCGTGTGTGTGCAACCCTGTTACTAAGGGATAGTGATAGAACTGGAAAGGATTTCTGAGTGTCTTGCATCTTAGCAGGGGGGCAACCCCGCAAGGGCTGGTTGCCCAACGAAGACGTCTACGCGGCTAATCCTAGAAACCCAATGTATTGCCTGGTGGCTGTTTGTCTTCGCCTCTGAAATTAGGAGTGTTTTTCAGAAACAAGTCCATCAGAGAGAGGATTGCACAGGTGTGTATCTAGACGGTTTTTTGTTCAACGTGCCGTCTACGGTAGGATTGCCTACGCATTGGACCCTGAACGGTTCTGAACCCTGATCGGTTCTAATTGCATTAGCCCTGATCGGCTACCTGTGGCTGATCCCTGAACGGCTGATACTGGGTCTAATCAACCCAGCGTACCTGCAAATCACTTTGCAAGTGTCGTCTACAAATGCTTTCTGCATTGCTATGGCATGGGGCCAAGCTTAGAACCCCAATGTACTGCGTAGTGGCTGTCTGTCCTCGCCTCTGAAATTAGGAGTGTCTCTCGAAACAAGTCCATCAGAGAGAGGATTGCACAGGTGTGTATCTAGACGGTTTTTTGTTCAACGTGCCGTCTACGGTAGGATTGCCTACGCATTGGACCCTGAACGGTTCTGAACCCTGATCGGTTCTAATTGCATTAGCCCTGATCGGCTACCTGTGGCTGAACCCTGAACGGCTGATACTGGGTCTAATCAACCCAGCGTACCTGCAAATCACTTTGCAAGTGTCGTCTGCAAATGCTTTCTGCATTGTTATGGCATGGGGCCAAGCTTAGAACCCCAATGTACTGCATAGTGGCTGTCTGTCCTCGCCTCTGAAATTAGGAGTGTCTTTCAGAAACAAGTCCATCAGAGGGATGATTGCACAAGTGTGTGTGTGTGTGTGTGTGTCTGTCTGTCTGTCTGTCTGTGTTTGTGTTTGTCAGGGGATGCTCGGCAGGCAAGGAAGGCGGAACATCCAGTCTGTTTCCAACGCCAAGGCAGCCCTCAGAAAGCGGCTGTGGGCACTTCCAGCTTAACCAGGCTCTGTGGTTCGTGTTTGATAGTGACCGGAAGCTAGAGATCGACGTAGCAATCGCCCGAAAGGTGGCTGAAGCGTGGACCGACAGATAACTTGGAGAAGGCAGTTTGCCTTCTGGCTTTGCATGATACTTTCGATTGCCTCGCTGCATGGTGATCTGCCTCTTGAGGCTCCTGATCCATCTAGCCCCGCTGTCTTGGAAGAGAGTTTGGCCTTTCTGTGAGTCAGGCGGCAGAAGACCCCACAGCAGCCTTGGCGGACTCACACATTGCCGGATTCACAGAATCACAGGAATGGAGGGTGAAGGAGAGCTATCGCGACAAAGGTCGTGGACCTGGAAGGCTCCGAGCAGATGCAGGAAAGACATCCATGATCCAAAGATCTTTTAGCAAGGCTATATTGTCTGCGATGTCATGTCAGGAGCCGGACAACAGAAACCGCGTGGAGTGCCCCGTGTGCTCCAAGCTCCTGAACAAGGCCAGCCTCCTTCGGAGCACCATATGTTTCAGGCAGGCCACAGGCCCCAAACCACGATTGGCGACTGTAGGCGGCAAGACACGCGCACTGGGCGAAGTCGTTTCAGCTTGTCAGGACGAAGCAGACGCTCATGTGAACGCGCACTTCGAATCTGCCAAGCTCCCAGCTGCCTTGCCTGAGTTGCCACCGCGGAGTTGTCCCCTTCTGTCGTCGCAAGATTGCCTCATCCCTTTGAGACTTCTCTCCTCTTGCAGGCAGAGCCGCCTGAGAAGCGCTTGCGCCTTGCAGGCCCTTCCTTCGATCAGATGGCTTCAGAAAGAATACAAAAGATGACTTCAGAGACCTCTTTGACAGTTCTGGCGGATGACAGCGAGCGGCATCCTGAGAGATGCATACAAAGTGCAGAGTTCTTGAAGGACTGCCTTTGATGCTTACAGGATAGCCCTAAACCCAGGTGCGAGCTGGTGGAGTGAGTGGAAGGCAGAAAGTTGCCTGCAAAGTGCGAAGTCGCACTGTACATAGACAGAAGCAGTCAGTGGAACTATGAAGTCAGATGAAAACCAACTGCCGAAATGGCATCTCCTAGTCGTCCTACTGTACTGCTGGAAGTCATAGCAGTGCATTGAACGTGCCATCACATTCGAGGCTTGTCCCACTGACTGACATTGCTTGAAAACGTGCGGCTGCTGTCGTGAAAGATACACTGGATGCAATGACACATCCTCAGCAGCCTCTGCCCCTAGATTTGTCAAGGACGTGCAGAGAGCTCGAGATAGCAGACTTTGCTGTGGTGTGTCCGGCGCAGACAGGAGACTCATGACCTATTGCTTTGGACCTGGGACCGCTTCTGCAGTCCAGAGACCACGATCTATTCAGCTATGGTCTCAGGAGACGGGATCGGAGTAGAAAGAGTCCAGTACAACGCCACTGTAATGTCCTGCATGGAAAGCTGACCTCAGCATGGAACAGGTCTTCATCAACCGGCCATTTTCGTGGAATTTCTTTGCCATAGTCCATGACAGTGGACTCTTCGAGGCAAGTGGACGTTGATGCAATTGAGCTGGACGATGGGGTGGCTTGCTCATCGCGGCCTGTGCCACGCAGGTTCAGCAACTGGACGAAGAGAAGGACTTCGATCCATGTGGACTGGAAGAGGCAACGTGGTACCATGTAGGAGGTTTAAGTTTGAACTGTCTGCTCCCTCATGGTGAAATTCGTGGAAGCGCCAGGTCTACATCCACGTAGTAACGCGCAAGTTGAAGAATGACTGATTTCAAAAGATGCCTTGGGTTCGTACCAAGCAGACATAACTTGGTCAGTACCGTAGACTAAATGTAATCGAAACTGAAACTATATGACACTCCATCCTCTGGGCTGTCGGCCCAGAGCATGATTCATGATCAGCTCGTCGTGCCAAAACTATTCAGTTACCTTCAATCTTCTATGCACCAAATTATTCGGGATACGCGTCATTCAACTTAGATTGTTGATTGATTCGGAGTTATTTCATGAAAGTCGGGATGGGATGTCTTCTATTATGCCCAAATATAGTCAGAATTGACTATCATAATAATTTAAATGAATATGGAAAATTTATATATTGAAAAATAATCGATAATGAAAAAGACATAAGAATTATTTTGGAGATGTCTGATTGAAAAATAATATTCTAAAATCAAAAGCGAAGATACGATTCATTATCTATATATTGATGATTCTTATAATTGAAAATTTAATTTTCTATATTATTTCGATTATTCTAGATATTTTTTCAAATCTTCTTAATCATGATGAAATACGATTTGATAGGAATTATAATATGATTCATTTTTCTTGATAAGTGAAATATATATATATCATCGAATAGATTTAAGATATTCAAAAGATATTTATGATGATATGAATTTTGAGATAGGAATTTATCGGAATTGATTATAGGGGAACAGAATTTAGATTAATAATAATAATATATAGCATATCAATTTCAAAATTTATGATCTATAACTAATTGTTAT